TTTGCGCAAGCTCAACCCCCCCCCCGTACATTTAAACTTTAAAGGTAAGCACTTACCTTTAAAGTTTAAAGCCCAACCCGGCCTCGCTTAAGTCCCGGACTCCTCCGGGACAGTAAAGTAAGGCCTTTTTTTTTTCTTCACAAACGCTCGTGGCGAAGCTTTGCCCGAGCGCATATCGCTTAGAGTTTAAAAAAAATGGCGGGGGAAAGCCGGAAGCCTCAGGCTTCCGACGGAAGTGGCTAGGCACCGGTGGAGAGCGATCAGATGCCGGTTTGTATCGAAAGCCACCGTTGCACTCTGTTTACCACCACTTCGGACCTAGTGGCAGAGTGCAATGGTGTAAAGGGATTTACAACGGTTAGGGACGGGAGGCAGATGTTCGCCGTCTGAACGCCGGTAAGTACACCGGTTGGAACCGGCACCTTAACCGTTGTAAATCCCCCGTCTGAACGCACCCTGTGTCACAGTGGCCAAAAAATACCAGGGACCATCAGGAGGTCCAGCAGTGGCAGTGAATTCCACGTGTTCATCACCCTTTGGGTGAAGAAGGACTTCCTTTTATCTGTTCTAACTCGATTGCTCAGCCATTTCATGGAGTGCCCACGAGGAGTTCTTGTATGGTGAAGATGGGGAAGAAGAATAGGAAAAGGTTGCTACGGTAGGGGGTAGATGCTGCCAGGGGAAGAAACAGAAGACGACGACAGGGAGAGAGGGAGAAAAGAAAAGGGAAAGACTAGGAGGAGGAAAACGGGGGGAGAGAGGGAAAATGAAATGAACATTATCTCCCCCCAAAGTCCTCACAGGTCCTCCACTCTGTTACCAAACTGAAGAAGAAGAGATTGGCTTTATACCCCACATCTCACTTGGAGTCTCAGAGCGGCTTACAAGCTCCTTCCCCTTCCCCTCCCCACAACAGACACCCTGGGAGGTAGGCGGGGCTGAGAGAGCTCTTTCGAGGACTGCTCTTGAAGAAGAAGAGATTGGATTTATACCCCACCCCTCACTCGGGAGTCTCAGAGCGGCTGACAAACTCCTTTCCCTTCCCCTCCCCACAACTGACACCCTGTGAGGTAGGCGGGGCTGAGAGAGCTCTTTCGAGGACTGAGGACTGCTCCTTGAGAAAACAGCTCTGGGACAACTTGTGACTGACCCAAGGTCACTCCAGCAGCTGCATGTGAAGGAGTGGGGAGGGGAATCACAACCGGGTCACCACTACCCCAAACTGAGAATTCCACATTAAAAATAATGCCATTGGAATTTGAGTAGAATAAGATTGTTCGACAGTGTCATTGATGCAACGAACATGAAACTGAGCCAAGTTCAGAGGATGGTGGAAGACAGGAGGGCCTGGCATGACCTGGTCCATGGGGTCGCAGAGAGCCAGACTCGACTGCGACTGAACGACAACAACAACAAAGATTGTCACTCCAGGACGGTCCAGAGCTCCTGGAGGCCGCAGAAGCAAGAAAAAGTGCTTGTGGAGTAGTCATGGATCTCTGTGATCTCATCTATCTGAGTGACCGGGGGGAGGGGAATAAAACGGGATGGGACCATCCCCGCATGAGGAAACCGGCTTGCCCACCCAGGAGGGCTAACACCAGGAAGGCCATTACATTCATCGCTGGTGGGCATGTAAGAGGGTTAGGGACTTCTGGGAGATGGTTTTGATTCACATTAAGGTGATCACACGGTATGACCAACCAAGACGACCAGCATTAATTTTCTGAGGTCTATGGCACGACACATCAGTCCCCAAAATTCGTAAAACCTTGATATCAACCTTATTAGTAGCCGCCGAGGTGGTCTTTGCCATTAAATGGAAATATCCTCGCTCGCTTCATTTGAACTTGTGGTACGCCAAGGTCTGGGAACTATATGCGATGGACAGAATGGCAGATATTATTGGCATAAGAACATAAGAGAAGCCAATGTTGGATCAGGCCAGTGGCCCATCCAGTCCAACACTCTGTGTCACACAGTGGCCCCAGACTCTCATGGGAGGACGTACTCTGGTGAGATTTCTGGCAGTCCAACAGGGCCTGTGCAGTTTGCCACTCTGCTTTTACAGACAGGTGAGGAAGGAAAGAAGTCAAGGGGGTGGTGGCAGTAGTGGGGTGGTGGCAGCAGCAGCGGTAAGGTGCAGTGATGGCCACCCCTTCAGAAGGCAAAACAGCGACTGCTGTACATGGTCACCTATTTATGACACACATGAAGCCTCTCTTTGCCCAAAGGCATCCAACCAACACACAAAATTAAAAACTCCAAAAGAATTAAATGAAAACTAAAACCCAAAAGAACCTAACACTGTAATCAGAAATATGACTTGGCTACAGCTTTCTTAAACTATTAAAATAACCCCCCCTCTCTCCCCCTCCCTCCCTCTCTCTCTGTCTCAAGCTGATATGAAGTCAGTTAAATCCACAGACACACATTCGTAATGCTGGTATGGTGGGGAAAGACAGGAAGATTCTGTGTTGAATGCAGATGTGTAATGGGTGTAGAATCTGCCATTTCTTTCTGTATTTAGAAGGAAACCTAGGAAGCCATCAATGAAGAAAAGGGACCAGACGAAACCTTATTAGTAGCTGCCAAGATGGTCATTGCCATTAAATGGAAAGATCTTAACTCACTTCATTTGAACTTGTGGTATGCCGAGGTCTGGGAACTAGATGTGATGGAAAAGACTGCAGATAGTACAGGCATGTTTAGAAACACAGGAAGCCATATTGACATAATGAATAAACGGCTCCCATTTCTAGAGGCATCGTTGCTAGCTAATTCGTCGTCGAGATCCCAAATTCCACAACGTTTTTACGAAACAGTTAATTATACGTAACGATATATAGAGTTTTACGAGGAGCCTGGAAGACCTCGACGGCATAACACCAGTCTGTACTGTTGTCATTGTATGTAACCTTTCGCATGTTGAACTGCTAAGCCTACTGCTTTTTCTCACATGAAGGTGTCATGTATTCTTCATGACCTGTATTGATTTTGTTGCTATGGAAGTTGAAATGGTTGCTGTGTTCCCTCTAAGCTGAGTCAGTGTGAGCTGGCTCACAGTTTTTTAGCCTCCGGCTCACACATTTTTGTCGTCGCTCAGGAAGGGTGGCTCCAGAGCAGACTGATTTATGCAGCAACCAAATCACCTGCTCACAAGTGCCAGCAGCTCACAAAGTAGAATTTTTGCTCACAAGACCCCACAGCTTAGAGGGAGCATTGTTGCGGATATATGAAAATGTAATAAAAATGGGTTTGTTTTTTTTTAAAAAAAAGGCGGGCTGGCACACGAGTACAGTGACCCCCAGGGGAAAGTGTGAAAAGTCCCTATTTTATTTTTAAAATACAGCACTTCATTCGCAAATCCCTCCATACGGTGGAGAAAACGTCGGCTACTCGAAAGAGATTGTGCCTTCGATGCTTCTCAACGGGCAGTGATGATCTACCCCCTTCTACCGCTCCGATCTCAAGGAAGAAGCAGGGCGCTTGCCCTGAGGAGGCCTCTTTCTCCCTGAAGGGTGAAACGGAGCCCCCGCGGTCCGAGTTCTGAGCCCTGCCTCCCAACTGCTGTTCTAACATGAGGGGCTCATGGCGGTGGGAGGCTGAGTCCGTCTCCGCTGGGCCCTCGGCCGCCCTCACTCCTTCAGGAAGAAGTGCATCTTGTCGTTGATGTTCTTGCGGTCGGGGTTGAGGCGCTTGAGGATCTGGGCCAGCACGTTGACTGTCTGCTCGCTGCTCAGGCCCGTCTTCTTGGTCTGGAACTTCTTCAGCAGGTCCTTGGTGGTCATGGGCTTGCGGGTCAGGTAGCGGCGCACGGCGTCCTCCGTCAGCTGCACGTCTCTGCAAAGGGGGAAACACACGGCTGCAGGCAGGCCCATGCGCAGAGGGTTCCCACTGGCGTGCTTATAGTGGGAAGTCCTCCAGGTAACTGAGGAGCTTGCCTGCCAATGTTCACCTGATCGACGGGCGGAAATTGGGGCTATAAGAACATCAGAGAAGCCAATGTTGGATCAGGCCAGTGGACCCTCCAATCCAACACACTGTGTTCACAGTGGCCAAAAATACCAGGTGCCATCGGGAGGTCCAGCAGCAGGGCCAGAACTCCAGAAGCTCTCCCACTGCTGCCCCCCATGCACCAAGAAGACAGAGCATCACTGCCCCAGACATAAGAACATAAGAGAAGCCATGTTGGATCAGGCCAGTGGCCCATCCAGTCCAACACTCTGTGTCACACAGTGGCCAGAAATACCAGGGGCCATCGGGAGGTCCAGCAGCAGGGCCAGAACTCCAGAGGTTCTCCCACTCTTGCCCCCAAGCACCAAGAAGACAGAGCATCACTGCCCCAGACATAAGAACATAAGAGAAGCCATGTTGGATCAGGCCAATGGCCCAGAACTCCAGAAGCCCTCCCAAGCACCAAGGATACAGAGCATCATCCTGGTCAAAGTGTTCCATCTATAACTTGTGGCTAATAGCCACTGATGGACTTCTGCTCCAGATGTTTATCCAACCCCGTCTTGAAGCTGTCTATGCTTGTAGCCACCACCACCACTTCCTGCAGCCCAACCGTGTGTGTGTTCTTCTGGAGATCACCACAGAGTTTCTGGCAATTCCTAGAGCTAGTCACTACTGGGTAGCTCTAGGAATGGCCAGGAACTCTATGGTAGGAAGTAGACAAGGCCTTATATTCCTTTTTCATTTTTCTCCCAGGATGCTGCTCTCCCCCACAGAAACTTCCGGGCAACCCGAGCCATGTAGCTGCTTGGCGTGTGAAGCCACAAAGGAGGGAAGGTTCTTTGTGGGAAGCAAGAGCCAGAAGGTTTGGATGGCTACAGACCTTAGCTTTGGGGTCGATCACCCAAAGCTCCGTGCAAATATACCCCAAGCCACCACGATAAAAGCAAGCAGCACATCTGAATTTTGAAGCATCAAATGACATAATTAACACACAATAATAATTAATAATTGTCGTATGGCAATGTGTGTCGCATAGCCAGGAGATCCAAAGATTGTCTGGCAGCCTGAAGTTCTAGCTCTTCGGCGTTATGCACCACTGAAGTGGCGAGCTAGACTTATTTTGGGGGCTGAGAGAGCTCTGAAAGGGCTGTGACCAGTGCTCCCTCTAAGCCGAGTTAGTGTGAGCTAGCTCAAAGTTTTTTTGGCCTCCGGCTCACACATTTTTGTCTTCGCTCAGGAAGGAGGGCTCCAGAGCAAACTCATCTATGCAGCAGCCAAATTGCTCGCTCACAACTTTAATGCCAGTAGCTCACAAAGTAGAATTTTTGCTCACAAGACTCCACAGCTTAGAGGAAGCATTGCCTGTGACTGACCCCAGGTCAACAACAACAACAAATAAATTAGGCATGAAGAGTCTAAAGCTGTTCTCAGAACCAGGCCAAGAGAGTCCTGGCGATTCCCGGAGCCACCAAGAAAGGGACAAGGGGACTGCCAGAAACTCTGAGACGGAGGCCAACCGACATCAAGGGCCAATGTTCCCTCTAAGCTGAGTTAGTGTGAGCCAGCTCACAGGTTTTTTAGCCTCCAGCGCACAGGTTTTGGTCTTCGCTCAGGGAGGAGGGCTGCAGAGGCCAAATCGCTTGCTCACAGCTTTAATGCCAGGCGCTCACAAAGTAGAATGTTTGCTCTCCAGACTCCACAGTTAAAGGGATCACTAATCAAGGCCCCCGGGGGCAGGCAGGGTTGCCAAGTCACTTACCTGGCGCAGCAGGGGAGAGTCGGTCCCGATCCGGGACATTCGCGCACGCACAGCGCGATGACGTCACCCGGACGTGACGTCATCACATTGTGTGTGTGTGTGTCGCCAGCTGATGCTCTAGCAATCGGCTGGAAACTCTATGGTACCACAGAGTTTTCAGGCCGATTGCTAGAGCGTCGGCCAGCGACGTGCCCAATGTGATGACGTCACGTCCGGGTGACGTCATTGCGCCGGGCACGTCGGCCCGAACCGGGAACTTTGGGGGCAGCGTTCCCCCCGTCGGACTGATCCGAACTGGCGGGTTGGGGGATGCCCCGTTGGCCCGATTCTGGCACTTTGAGAGCGGGGTTCCCCCCAGCAGCTGGACCCAGGCCAGCAGGCTGGGGGTCTCTAGAGTGGGCAAGCCCCCCCCCCGGGGACCTGGCAGCCCTAGGGGCAGGCGATACTTACCCGCTGCTGGGGGTTGACTTGCCCGACTGCGGCTGGGGCGTTGACTTCCCAGAGGCGGAGGCCGCTTGGGACCCGGCGTCCATCTTCACCCTCTTGGCCGCAGGGAGCTCGCTGGACCCCGCTTGCCGTTTGCCTGTTCCAAGGAAAACAGATACACCGATTTGAGAACGGGAATCCCAACGTGGATCATCGTCAGGGCTGAAACCTGTCCCTTTCTTCCCAGCAGGGGGAACCAAGAACTGGCCCACACAGGGATGAAGGTGGTGGAAGATATGGCTAAATCGTGTGTGTGCGTGTGCGTGTGTTTGTGTTGTTCTGGGGATCACCATAGAGTTTTATGGCAATCCCTAGAGCTACCCTTATCGCATCCGGGTAACTCTAGGAACCGCCAGGAACTTTATGCTCAGAACTTCCTGTAAGAAGACAAGGTATTAAGACACCAACAGCTGGTTGGGAAATTCTTGGAGATTTGGGGGTGAAACCTGGGGAGGGCGGGGGGGGGGGCAGAATGCCACAGAGTCCACCCTCCAAAGCTGCTGTTTTCTCGGGGGGAGGGGGACTGATAACTGTTGTCAAGAGATCAGTTGGTTTTGGCGGTTTGCAAGCGGGTGCACTCCGTCGAAGCTCTGATGTGAGTGCCCCGTAAAACGTGCCGATGGCGAGGGGTCTGAGTTGATCTCAGACCCCCTCAACCCTTTGTAGGGGGGGTCGTAGTCTGGGGTGCATGAGGTTGCCTCCGGCTCACACATTTCTGTCTTAGCTCAGGAAGGGCATCACCAGAGCAAACCAATTCATGCAGCAGCCAAATCGCTCGCTCACACCTTTAATGCTGGTAGCTCACAAAGGAGAATTTTTGCTCACAGGACTCCACAGCTTAGAGGGAACACTGGCCGTAGCCTGGGGCGCATGAGGTCCCTCACCCGAGGCTCATGCCAAGGGTTTGAGGTTCCTTTGCCCCGATAGGTTCTCGCGGCACGGAGCCAGCGATGGCACTAAGAGGCACACGCCGGGCAGAGCGCACAAGTGATCTACAGAAAATGATCTTTCCTACCTTCTGATGAAGCGCAAGCAAAATGTCGAGTTGATCCATGTCATAAGCAATCGCTTAAACAGCCGTAAAGCCGCCCCAAGGCCCGAAACAAGCGGAGGGGGAGGGGAATACCCGATCCTGATAAAACTGAGTTTAAAAAGCGGGGACCGAGAGGGCGGCTTGAAGGAAGCGAAAATCCGATGCAGTGTGGGGCAGACTAGCAAGAAAGCAGTAAAATACCAGCTTCTCAGAGACTTCTGAAAACTTTCTTCTGCATGTAAACAATGACACAGCGAGCAGAAAAAATGGTGGCCAAAGGGAAAAAAGGGCGGCCAAAGGGAAACTAACAACATCACCGCCAGCCATTAAACCGGAAGTAACCATAGACTTTCCTAAAATGATTGCGGCCGCTTTGCGCCCTCTGCTGGACCAGATGATCAACCTTAATGACAAGTCTGACGCACTGCAAAAAGAACTCCAAGGAGACACAGCAACAACAGAGAAGACAGTGAAGAAGCTGATTGACCCGGTGCTTAAAGCGGAAAAGATCTCAAAGCAACAACAGAAAGCAACAGAGGCGCCTGAGAAAGGGGAAGACAACCAAGATGCAGAGGAAGAAGATAAAGATTGGGAAAGTTCTGACTAGAGATGTGAAGGCCCGGGGGAAAACCGGGAACATTCGGGGGAAAAACTTTTCCCCCCCTGTTTTTTTCCGAAAAATTGAAAAAAGAAAAGAAAAGAAAATTGACTATGGAACATTTTATTTTAACATGATGAACAAAATATTTTAAGACAAGGTGTTCAAATATTTACCAAATCATTTCTAAAAAATACGTATGGTATCAGATTGATCTGATTTCTGTGCACTGAGGACAAGCAAGTCCTAGGTTACCAACTGAACTCTCCACTGCAAGAATAAGATGCATTTCTGCCTTTAGGAGGTGCTATTGTCACAAGAAAAGAAAAAGGTTTCAGTTTTGTTTTTGCATGTGGGTGGGTATTCTGTTTGTAATAACTGTTTGGATACGCTATATTTTTAATAGGCTAGTTGTGATAATTTCATGCCGAGTAAAAATGTCCATAGTCATATTTTATGTTCCTAAAGTAACAGAACGACTTTCAGTCTGGAAAAGAAAAAAGAAATGCTCATGTAGCATTTTTTCTCAATTTTCCTGAAAACGTCCGTTTCCCCCCGGAAAAAATCCGGGTTTTTTTTCCCCGAGCTTCAAAATTTCCGCAAATTTTACATCTCTAGTTCTGACATCATCTCAAACCGTCGGGCGTTGAAGCAGAATTAGGGGCTGCTGACCCTAAGCCTATAAAAACCAAACGGATTTTTGATAAAACGAAAACTTAGAAGAAAGAAATAAGCCAAACAGATTAAACTTGATAGCTGGTTGTTTAAATACATATAATTTTGAAAGCTAGGATGTATACACTGCAGAAGGCTGTGACGGAGATTGCTTGGTCTGTAACTGTATATCTCTAAGATACTCCTTTGGCGATATGATACTAGGGAAGTATCAATCATTTATATATATATATCAATCATATATATATATATAT